CTTTGGATCAAAGTCGGTTGGACACGACCCCCGGAACAACATGAGTTTGACTCTCCTGTCTTACGGTGTGTTCACAAACAAGGCCCAAAAATAAAAGTTTTGAACCATCAGTATATGAGACCATAATTTCAACCCGGGATGCCACGCCCCCTCCTCAAAGATTAAAAACAAACATTAATTAAAAAATAATTTATTAAGTTTAGAATTCACTGCAAACAAAAGTAGAACAAACAAAATCTCGACATTTAGCAGGAACACGATGGAGGCTGCTGTGTTTGAGCTGCAGTGATCCCGTCTCCAGACCAGAGGTGGGACCCAGTCGTCGTTTTGCGAGTCTCAAGTCTTTGACCTCAAGTCCAAGTCGAGTCCCAAGTCTTAGTCCATTTTATCAAGTCAAGTCCCTCAAAACAGTGACTCAAGTCTGACTCGAGTCCCCACCTCTGCCCCCGACCACATAATGTTGATATAAATGGACACAGGTAACGTGGGCGAGCTTTGGGCTCCATGGACTCTGGCTCCAGTTCACTTTGTATTGAAATATTCACCCGTATCTGGACCTGCTGCGGCCCAAATCCTCATTCTGGTCTTAAAATGTTCGTACTGACTCACTGGTGTTTTTGATTGTGTGTTTACATGAAGAATGGAAAAAACGGATAAACCAGGACTAAACCAGGACTAAACCAGGACTAAACCAGGACTGAACCTGGACTAAACCTGGACTAAACCAGGACTAAACCAGGACTAAACCAGGACTGAAAACCAGGACTAAACCAGGACTGAAACCTGGACTAAACCAGGACTAAACCAGGACTGAAACCAGGACTGAAACCAGGACTAAACCAGGACTAAAGGACTAAACCAAAAGACTAAACCAGGACTGAACCAAGACTAAACTAGGACTAAACCACCAGGACTGAACCAGGACTAAACTAAACCAGGACTAAACCAGGACTAAACCAGGACTAAACCAAAGGACTAAAACAAAGACTAAACCAGGACTGAACCAAGACTAAACTAGGACTAAACCAGGACTGAACCAGGACTAAACCAGGATTAAACCAGGGCTAAAACAGGACTAAAACAAAGACTAAACCAGGACTGAACCAGGATTAAAACAAAGACTAAAACAAAGACTAAACCAGGACTGAACCAGGATTAAAACAAAGACTAAAACAAAGACTAAACCAGGACTGAACCAGGACTAAACCAGGACTGAACCAGGACTAAACCAGGACTAAAACAAAGACTAAACCAGGACTGAACCAAGACTAAAACCAGGCCGGGACTGAGACTAGGACTTAAACCGTGATCAGACTGGGACCAGACCAAGACTGAAAAAGGTGTAGTTGTGGTCTAGTCCTGGTCTAGTCCTGTTTTAGTCCTGGTTCAGTTCGTTATCCATTTTTCATTTAAACACAAAATTGAAAACTGACAAATCGAATCATTATCTGTTTTTTCATTTTGGTTTTGGAGACAAATAATGAAGAAAATCGTCATTTTTCTCTTTTTCTTATTTTTGGTTTTAGTTTAAAAAAAGCGTATGAACGAATGACACACGGATTTAACTGCTGGCCCCTTGAGCTTCATTTGACTGGAGCAGAACGCCGTGGGTCGGTCCATTTTTTTTTTACACAGTCTATGGTCCCACAGCTCCTCACGCTTCACCAGAACAAACCAAAACGGTTCAAAAACAACAAAAACATTCAGATAAATTATATTATTACCAGTTCAGTCACACAAAGTTCAAAAAAAAAAAAAAAAAAAAAAAGTCAATTTCTGGAAAAACCGCAGAACTTTTGCAGAATTTATTGAACAAATACATTCACCTTTTGTCCAGTTTTTGGCTCAGTGTGCTTCAAGTGCTCTTCTGTTTCACTGTGTCCAGCACCACTCCACTCGAACCTCAAAACAAAAACAAACCTTCACACCGACACGCGCCTCGGTCTTTGTTTCCCTTTTTGTGATCACACGCGCGCCGCAGCTGCCCCGGGGCTGAGGGTCAGAGAAGTGGCTGCAGTCTGTGCCGTCTGAACCCACGAAACACTAAAAGGCTCAAATAAGCAAGGTCCTCTGGTCTCGAAACGAATGTACTGTCCCAGGTTTAAGGTGGAGGGGGGAGGGGACAGGTGAAGAGGGAGGGGACAGGTGAAGGGAGAGGGGACAGGTGAAGGGAGAGGAGGGGACAGGTTAGGGGGGAGGGACAGGTGAAGAGGGAGGGGACAGGTTAGGGGGAGAGGGGAGGAGGACAGGTGAAGGTGAAGGGGGGACAGGTGAAGGGGGCAGGTGAAAAGGGAAGGGACATTTGAAGGGGGAGGGGACAGGTGAAGGAAGGGGACAGTTGAAGGGGGAGGGGACAGGTGAGAGTTGGAGGAGCAGGTTTAACATCCGACCAGGGTTCCCACTCTTTTTCATGGACAAAATTTCAAAACTTTTTCAGGACTTTTTCATGAGCTGAAGTGAATTTTCCATGACTTTACAGCACCTACATGTGTAGAACTGATCAGACTTTTAGGGTTAAATCTGAAACGTGAACTCTTTCCACTCCCCTTGTGGTTTGGGATTATAGTTTTTAAACATTCTAAATCCTGTCAGTGCTTTTATTGTCGTCTCTTTTAAACAAAAGGTGCAGACGTTCACAAATAATCAGAATAATCTCATGAGAACTTAACAGAACACTGGAGTTAAGTGAAAGAGATACTCAAATTCCATGACTTTTGCACACCTGGAAAAATGACATTTTCAATTTCCAGGATTTCCGTGAGTGCGGGAACCTCGTTTTAAACTGACAGAACATCTCAGTCTAACCCCGTGTTCCATTTTCCTTCTGAATCAGTTTTCCGAGGAAGTTGCCAAGCGACACATGAGACTCTAGGGGTGTCCAAAAATATCAAAATATCGATATATCGTATCATTTAATGTGATGATACAGTATCGATATCATGGGCTGCTGTATTAATATATCACCAAGAGTATTTTTTGGTTTATTTTGCTAAATTATTTTGTTACAGTTTTGTTGTTTTTTCAGAGGAAGGAAACTTTCACTGTTTTGATGATTAAAATGTTTGTGTTTCATATGAACTTTGCACAAGAAGAAGTGGTTTAACAAAGACTTTTAGTGTCACAGCCAGGATTTAGCCATTTGATTTTATTGAACCATATCAAATCGATTTGAAAGTATCGAGATATGTATCGTATCGGCAACTTCTTAATGATACCAGCCCTACGAGACACGCCCCTTTTCCTGGGACAGTGCGACTTAGAGCTTAGTGACAGAAAAAGTCGACCGAATTATGTCAATGAATGACTTTATCCAATTTCCAGACAGATAAATGTCCTCAAATGTGACGCTGCATCAATATTGATCTCGTGCGCTTGTTTTTACTCGTGCGCCGCCGCAGGTCCACGTGCCCGACACTGAGGCGCTGCTTTAAACGCTCTTGTGCCTGATCCACCCGACCTGTGACCTGAGAGGAGCCTGTGTGAGGCCGACTGATGCAAATGTGTCGGTTCTGAAGTGACTTTGGTTCTGTCTGTAAACTCCCACACATAAACTGTCTGTTTTCTTACACTGGCCCAGTGTAAAGTGACTCTAGTGTCTGTACGTGTTACTGCAGCTGCACTGATGTAAACGAGCTGTGAACAGACGTGTGAATGATCAGCATTTACACATATCATTCATTACCGCGGGGCACACGTATTTACTGCTAAAGGCTGATGGTGGTAGTTTTTACTTTGTTTACTGATTGAAATGTGATGCAAAAATACCATTAGTCTGACCTACTGTCTGTAAATATGACGTAAAGATGCAGAATAACAGTTAATGTCGCCTAAACTAGGGATGGGCATTTGATGAAATTTTCTTAATCGATTGTTAATTCTTCTGACGATCGATTATCGATTAATCATTAACATTTTTATATTAAAATGATCATTATTATTTCTATCTGCACTAATCTGCATAAATAAATTCAACTTTACGACATATAAACCGTAACGACTCTAGATCCACATCAGCTGTTTGACATTATAATGTGTTTAATTCAGTTTTGTTCAAATCTCACAGAAACAAAACTTAAAACCACATCACTAATTTACATAAACTAAGTGAAGATAAAACTCCAGCTCTTGTGTCGCTGATGTGGTTCAACTTGTGTTGGATTAAAAGACATGACTCAGGTGAATACAGGTCAGTGTGACCAGATTTGTGTTTGTCAAAACCAGGACAGCGTACGGGGGGAGGGGGGCGGGGCCTCGTCATCCACATTGAGCGACTCTCACCTGGAAAAACTTTTTCCCACTGGACACAGAAACATATGTGCTGCTTTATCCACTGTGCACATGGACTCACACTTGTCCCAACGCAACGGAAAGTGTGGAATTTCTTGTACAAATCATCGTTAATACGCATTTGTGCTTCGGTTCGTTACAGACTGACCCACTGTTTGTGTCTCGCTCCTTCTGATGCAGAGACACATGTACACACCTGTTTGGTCACGACACACAGTGACCTACATTTGGTTTGTCGATTAAAATGAACGTAATCGATGAAATTCTTAATGATCAATTATCGATTAATCATGCCCATCCCTAGCCTAAACAAACACAATTTAAAATCCTGTAGAGCCAGATCTAAGTTTTATAATCAACTGAAGATTTACAGTGAATTTTTACATCACTAAATTTATCAGCTTTTATCGACTATCGGCAAATCCATCTCCCGTTTTATCTGTATCATATAAAACTCATATCAGTTGGGCCCTAGTTTAAAATTTTTTTAAAAGTTTATGCAGTTTGAATTCCCAAAATGCATTGTGCTCTGTGGGAGACTCTTTCTGGGAGCTGCAGTACCTGGAGCAGCCACTAGTCTGTCTCGACCCGGGACCGAGGGAGAACGTCTTATCCCGTTTTTATTAAAGATCCATGGACTTAGCCTCTAGTCTCGCTCTGATTGGTCAAAAAAGGAAAAAAAAAAAGAGGAAATCAATGTAAAATTCGTGGAGTGGTTTTGGACACAGTTTTATTTCACAGCGCCAAAGTGTGACTCAGCTCAGCAGGTCTGCGGGAGGAGAACCCCACGTCAACCTCACCTCTGCTGATTTCAGCTCTTTTTAAAACACGCGTGAAAGGTTTGTGATTGACAGGTCCAAAATGTAAATGTTCCACAGACACACAGGGGTCGCAGGGGTCGCAGGGGTCGCAGGGGTCGCAGGGGTCGCAGTGGCAGAGTGGTTTTCCTCTCACAGACCCGTGTGCACAGCTGGGTCGGTGTAAACAGGTTGTTCAAAGATTCTTTTTGCAGTTTTCTTTGGCGGCCCTCAGTCTGCTCAGGATGTGTTTCTTGGGGAACTTGAGCGTGGTGCAGCCGAACTGACTGACTCCGCCCGTGTCCCCCGGCAGCTTCTCCCTCCTCTGCACCCAGCTCCTCCAGCCGGGCTTCCAGCAGTAAATACTATCATAGAACCGCGAGCCGTTCTCCCCGCCCAAAACATAGATCCGCCGCTTCCACCTGGCCACGCCCCCGGCCGCTATCCGCCGCGGTAACCCTGGAAACACCACGGGGCTGGGCGCTCTGTCGCTGCCCCCTCCCCCCCTCTCCCGCTCGTTCGTCACCACCACCTCGCGCTCCGTCCCCCGCCCTTCTCGGAAAAACAGCACCCGTCCCGTGGCGTCCAGCGTCTCCAGGTTGGTAAAATTCCCATCTAAAAACTTGGTGGTGTCCCTCATGTATCCGCCGATCGCGCAGACTCCGCCCCTGACCGCCACACCGCCCGCCAGGCAGGTCGCTCCAGAGTCCAGAGCCACTTTGGTCCAGCAGCGCGTGAGCGTGTGGTAGATGAGCACGCCGGAGTGCACCACGGCTCTGTTCTGTTCTAACGTGGTTCCTCCGAGTAAATAAAGACGGGAGCGGAGGGTGGCGCAGGCAAAGGCTCTGAGCGGCAGGGGCAGGCGAGGCCCGAGAGACCAGGTCATCGTCGTCAGGTCCAGGACCTCGCTGGAGTCCAGCAGAGCCGAGCGGTTACTCCCTCCTAAAGCAAACAGGGACTTCCCACAGGCTAAGAGACCGAGCATAGCGCGCGGCTGTGACATGGGCGCACGCTCCACCCAGCGGTCCAGGACGGCGTCGTATTCGTGGACGCTCTGAGACACCGAGAAGGTCCTGAGGATTCCCCCCGCCACAAACAGCCTGTCGCCCACGGCCGCGCAGCCCGGGCTCACCAGCGCCCCCAGTGGAGCCAACTTCTCCCACTTCCCCGTTCTCGGGTCGAAACAGTCGACAGTAAAATCCCTCAGGTTTTCGTCCTCGCGTGGCGTGAGGTCGATGCAGACGATCTTTTTCTCGAACATGCCCTCTCGTGGTCGTAGGGGTCCGCCCGGACCCTCGCCTGCCGCCGCGGGCCCCAGCTCCTGGCTCAAGCGTCGGCTCTCCTCGTTGGACAGAAGCCCCGGGCGCAGGTGCTGCAGTAAACTGGGCATGTGGGCGTATCTCTCCAGAGGCAGATGCTCCGCCCACCGCCGCGCCGCGTCGTACACCTCCGCCTCCGAGTGCACGCCGAGGCGGTCCGAGCCCAGCAGAGACCCCAGCGTGCCGTGGTCCAACAGGAGGAAGTCTTTTTGGCGAGAAACACGGGGGAAGTGCTGAGCGACCAATCGCAGCGAGGCGCGGAGGAGGAGCTGGTCGTGGTGCGAGCGGGCGAGAGAATACATGCCCAGACAGTTCTCCACCGACAGGTGCTCGAACAGGAACCTGACACAGAGAGAGAGAGAGAGAGACAGAGACAGAGAGAAAGAGAGAGATAGAGAGACAGGGACGTGAGTCACAGGTGAGAGAAGAGTTCACAGTGGCTCAACATGAACAAGAGAGTTTCATAGAACAGGAACAGTTTACTAGAACCACCCACAGCACAAACACATATTCACCTGTGAGCAACAAAATGTTTCTGATTCACTGAGTTTGACACTCAAAAAAATTATGTTTAAAAACATCTTTGGTCATAACTGCAGAATTATTTGTCTAAATTGTTCTTTGTCTGTATCTGGTTTCTGATCATGTGTTATGTTGTGAAAGTGTAAAATTTTTCGTATTGACACTTAAAACTATAGTGATGTTGTCTTCTGACCTGGAGCACAGGTCCTGCAGGGGCATGACCTGAAGTCTATTCGCCGCCACAAACAGGTCCTCGGCCGTGTCCAGAGAAAGCCCCGCCTCCCCGGAGTAAACGAATCGGATCACAGTATCCATCACCGCCGGCGTCACGTCCTCCAGTCGGATCTCAGTGAGGCGGGACTCCACCAGGGGACTCGTGAACATCGCACGAAAGTACGGGCTCACTGCAGCCAAAAGCACTCTGAGGAAGAGGAGGAGGAGGAGAGGAAGAGGAGGAGGAGGAGGAGAGGAGGAGAGATACAAGAGGGAGGGAGGAGAAAGAAGAGCAGCTACTGTATTAAACTGCCCTTTTTACACTGTTTTCTGATCTATATTATATTGTTTATCACAAACAATCAAAAAGTCTCACTGGAGTCAGTTTTTGTGTAATACAGGACCTGAGAGCCCAGACTGACCTGTGGCAGTTGAACTTCTTCCCCTCGACCAGGAGGGTGACGTCACAGAGCTGCTGAGCGTCCAGGAGCTGCTTCAGACCTGAGACAGAAAACATCACAACATCACAAACATCATCATCACATGCAGAACATCAGACTGTATTTACGGACACGTTGTAGTCTCTGTGCGACAACGTTTGTAGTCTCTGTGGACAGTGTAGTCTCTGTGCGAGCGGACATGTTTGTAGTCTCTGTGCGAGCGGGCACGTTTGTAGTCTCTGTGCGAGCGGACACGTTTGTAGTCTCTGTGTGCGAGCGGACACGTTTGTAGTCTCTGTGCGAGCGGACACGTTTGTAGTCTCTGTGCGAGCGGACACGTTTGTAGTCTCTGTGCGAGCGGACACGTTTGTAGTCTCTGTGTGCGAGCGGACACGAGCGGACACGTTTGTAGTCTCTGTGTGCGAGCGGACACGTTTGTAGTCTCTGTGTGCGAGCGGACACGTTTGTAGTCTCTGTGTGCGAGCGGACACGTTTGTAGTCTCTGTGTGCGAGCGGACACGTTTGTAGTCTCTGTGTGCGAGCGGACACGTTTGTAGTCTCTGTGTGCGAGCGGACACGTTTGTAGTCTCTGTGTGCGAGCGGACACGTTTGTAGTCTCTGTGTGCGAGCGGACACGTTTGTAGTCTCTGTGTGCGAGCGGACACGTTTGTAGTCTCTGTGCGAGCGGGCATGTTTGTAGTCTGCGTATGAGTGAGCGGACATCTTTGTAGTCTCTGTGCGAGCAGACATGTTTGTAGTCTGCGTATGAGTGAGCGGACATCTTTGTAGTCTCTGTGCGAGCGGGCATGTTTGTAGTCTCTGTGCGAGCGGGCATGTTTGTAGTCTCTGTGCGAGCGGGCATGTTTGTAGTCTGTGCGAGCGGCATGTTTGTAGTCTCTGTGCGAGCGGGCATGTTTGTAGTCTCTGTGCGAGCGGGCATGTTTGTAGTCTCTGTGCGAGCGGGCATGTTTGTAGTCTCTGTGCGAGCGGGCATGTTTGTAGTTTTTATACCATGACTGATGTAGTCCCCCAGTGGAGTGGTGCTGTCGTCAGGAAAGTCTTCCTCCTCAGAGTCAGAGTCAGACAGAGGCTCTCCTCCTCCTCCATCTCCGTCCTGCCAGGGCTGTGGACGCCACGTCACCGCGCCCCCCCGCATCTGTCACACACAAACACAATATACAACAATAAATATATATATAACATTATACAACTACATCACCATTTCTTTATTTAATGAGACAGGGACAGTGCACAATATACATGAACCTCAACAGGAGACATGTTTGTAGTAGGTTGTAGCATCAGTGTTCATTTCCATCTGTCGTCCCGGGGCAGATTCACTGATTGATTGTTTTTAACTGACCTTGACCATCAGCTGTTCTTCCTGGAGACCTGTAGCATGTTTTGGGTTGATATGAAATGAGAACAAAGGAAAGTCCAAACTGAAACCTCCTCTGCTCTCAGATAAGACTTATCTCACTTCAGAAAGCAACAAAAAGTCACTTTCACTGTTGACTAGATAGATCTGTGTTCTAGGGAGGGGCAAAAATAATGAAAACTTGTGTGTTGTATTTGTGTGTGTGTGTGTGTGTGTTTTTTTTTTTTTTTTTTTTTTTTAAGATTAGAACCCTGCATTTGGTTCCATATCTGGGCAAAATATTTGGGTCCAAATGTTATGAAAATTAATTAATATGTAGTGATTGCTCAAGACACTTGAAAATCATCCTATAACCTAAACTATAACATGAAACCAAATAAATAAGACCTATTCGAATAATTTGTCATTTTACTCTGTGAACACAAACTGAAAATGGCATTAAAATGATTTAGAAAGTAAAAAGTGACTTAGGCTCTGATCTGCTTCATAACCTGCTGGATTTAAAACATCACGTCACTTTGATGGAACCACTGAACCTTCTTTTTCCAGAATATTGTGAAGCATCAGGTTCTTCTGTTCTTCTCAATACTGATTCAGTCCTGGTTTAGTCCTGGTTTAGACCTGGTTTAGACCTGGTTTAGACCTGGTTTAGACCTGGTTTAGTCCTGGTTTAGACCCAAAATAGATCTGGTTTAGTCCTGGTTTAGTCCTGGTTTAGTCCTGGTTTAGTCCTGGTTTAGTCCTGGTTTAGTCTTGGTTTAGTCTGGTTTAGTCTTGGTTTAGTCTTGGTTTAGTCCTGGTTTAGTCCTGGTTTAGTCCTGGTTTAGTTCTGGTTCAGCCCTAGTTTAGACCTGGTCTAGACCTGATATAGTCCTGGTTTAGTCTTGGTTTAGTAGACCTGATATAGACCTGATATAGACCTGATATAGACCTGATATAGACCTGATATAGACCTGATATAGACCTGGTTTAGGCCTGGTTTAGGCCTGGTTTGGCCCTGGAATAGACCTGGAATAGACCTGGAATAGACCTGGAATAGACCTGGTTTAGACCTGGTTTAGACCTGGTTTAGGCCCTGGTATAGCCCTGGTTTTAGACCTGGTTTAGACCTGGTTTAGACCTGGTTTAGACCTGGTTTAGACCTGGTTTAGACCTGGTATAGCCCTGGTATAGCCCTGGTATAGTCCTGGTTTAGCCCTGGTTTGGCCCTGGAATAGACCTGGAATAGACCTGGAATAGACCTGGTTTAGACCTGGTTTAGACCTGGTATAGCCCTGGTATAGCCCTGGTATAGCCCTGGTTTAGACCTGGTTTAGACCTGGTAGCCCTGGTTTAGTCCTAGTTTAGACCTGGTTTAGATGTGAAATAGACCTAAGACCTGGTTTAGCCCTAGTTTAGACCTGGTTTAGACCTGAAATAGACCTGGTGTAGACCTGGTGTAGACCTGGTATAGTCCTAGTTTAGATCAAATTGGTCAAAAATAGAGACACCTGGGACATTTCTTATAAAAACTGGGACAAATCAGTGGTTTTGTATAAATCTGCTGGGACAGGGGACACAGGGCTCAAAACTGGGACTGTCCCGGGTAAACGGGGACTGTCCCGGGTAAACGGGGACTGTCCCGGGTAAACGGGGACTGTCCCGGGTAAACGGGGACTGTCCCGGGTAAACGGGGACTGTCCCGGGTAAACGGGGACGTCTGGTCTCCCGGACTGTTGTACCAATAATCCCATCAGAATCGTCTAACGTGACTTACCTTGGCTCTCCGTCTCGTTTCCAGCGTTGTGGTTGATTTTGTCCCTCTTTTTAACAGAAAAATATTAAAACAATCTCCAGTATCGGCGTGACACGGACACCCGGAGCCTCCCGATGCCTTCCCCCGTGTATGTGGAGGGTTTTTCGGCTTTGCTTGTCAATATTATCCGGCCTTTAGTCCCAGAAACGAGGCTACAGAGCGGAGGACCACATCTCCCCCGGTATAAACCCAACTATCACCCGGATTAAAGCTCTCTCAAAGCCGGTAACAGTGATCAGTCCACCATGGCACAACGATCACACCTCCAGCTAACGGTGAAATCTCTAAAAAAGGCCGTTTTAAAAGGTTTTAGAGCTGAAATCTAACCCAAAGTTAAGCAGCGAACGGCCGCACTTGTCATGTCGGAACCGGATTACCGCAACCGACAACTTCCGCTACTCTTATTGGCTGACCCGTACCACGTGATTATTGTTTACACCGGAACTTGTATCACTTTTATCAAAAATCGCTAAGAAATATAATACTTTTTTCATATTTTAGGCCCTTAAAACCATATAATTCGTAAAGTATACAATAAATCTAGAAAATAACAAAAAATGTTTGTGATTTTGGAAATGTCGCCTTTGCGGACCGTTGGTTCAGCACGTAAATGTGCGTTTCGACTTTTTGACCTCAATTTATTTACTTTTAATAACTTTTTATTTACGTGCAGCAGTACAAGAGGTTAAACAGTTAAATGTGATATTAACAAAAAATTAAGAATGGAAAGATTTCAAAGGCAATCTGTTTTTATTCTTTATCATATTAATAATTAATAATTACAATGTTGTGTCGTTACTGCACTTCTCAGAAGGATAATTTGAGTTAGTGACAGTTTTATTTTATTTTTTACTTTTATTTCAAAATTGTAAATCACTAAACAGTTTCACCCACACTCCCTGAACATAAAATACCTTTACATTTTTGTTTAAACCTGAATTTTAATTTCAGAATTGTAAATGACTTAACAGTTTCACTTCATGCTAACCAAACATACAATACCTTTACATTTTTTTTTTTTTTTTTTTTTCAAAATTAGTTTCATCCCACGCTCCCTGAACATAAAATACTTTTACATTTTATTATTATTATTTTTTTTTTTTTTCAAAATTTGTTTCACCTAAGGCTCCCCAAACATAAAATATCTTTAAGTTTTAATTTTTATTTTTATTTCAAAATTATAAATTACTAAACAGTTTCACCACACACTCTCCGAGAATAAATATAATAAATAAATACCTTTCCTTTTTTGTTTGTTTGTTTTTGTTTTTTTTTTTGTTTCACCTCAAGCTCCTGAACATAAACATACCTTTACATTTTATTTTTTATTTTTATTTTTATTTCAACATTATAAATGTCTAAACAGTTTCACCTCATGCTAACTGAACATAATATACTTTTTTTTTTCCCCAAAATTTGTTTCACCTCAAGCTCCCCGAACATAAAATACCTTTATATTTTACTTTTCATTTTTATTTCAAAATTGTAAATGACTAAACTGTTTCACCACACGCTCCCCGAACATAAAATACCATTACATTTTATTTTTATTTTTTAAATTTTTAAATTAATTTCACCTCACGCTCCCCAAAAATAAAATACATCATTTACATTTTATTTATTTATTTATTTATTTTATATTAAATTATTTATTTATTTATTTTTATTTCAAAATTGTAAATGACTAAATAGTTTCACCTCACGCTAACAGAACATAAAATACGTTTACAGTTTTGTTTTTTGTTTTTCATTTTAATTTCAAAATTGTCAACGTCTGAGCAGTTTGACCCACGCTCCTTGAACCCGTCCCGGTTGTCATCGGGACAAACATGGCGGTCTCCTTCAGCGTGGCCGCGGCTCGTCGGTGCGGCGGGGCTCTGTGCGCTGTCACCGCGGCTCTGAGGCACCGTCCGCGGCCCGCCCTGGCTCTGGCGCCCCGGCACTGCCACGGAGCCCCCCGGAGCAGCCTGTACGAGCACGTCCGGGAGGGATACAGCCACAAACCGGACCTGAACATGCCCGAGATCTGCGCCGATCCCGACGCGGCGATCGCCAACGCGGAGAGCAGGAAGGGCGAGCTCCGAGGAGACGACGTCCGCACGATTGTGAGGAGAAAATGACAATAATGTTACAGTGTTGGGGAGTAACGGATTACATGTACCGAAGTTATGTAATCAGAGTACAAATGATGAGTAACTGTATTCAGTTACAGTTACAGTTACAGTTACTGTTTCAGTGAGAGGTAATTGTTGAAATAAATGGATTACAGGGCGGTAATTTTCAGTTTTCACATTTTGGGTTAAACCAGGACTAAAACCAGAACTAAACTAAACCAGGACTAAACCAGACTAAACTAGAACTAAACTAGGACTAAACCAGGACTAAACTAGAACTAAACTAGGACTAAACCAGGACTAAAACTAGAACTAAACTAGGACTAAACCAGGACTAAAACCAGAACTAAACTAGGACTAAACCAGGACTAAAACCAGGACTAAACCAGGACTAAAACCAGAACTAAACCAGGACTAAAACCAGAACTAAACTTAAAAGCATGACAATATCAAGTAATCCAAAGTATTCAGATTACGTTATTCACTTTAAGTAATTTAATGGATTACGTTACAAACTACATTTTGGGGTCTGTAATCTGTAGGGGATTACATTTTAAAAGTCACCTTCCCAACACTGGTTGTTTATTTATGTGGTAAATAATAATAAAGTCTGAGCTGCAGTAACGTGGTAAGACTGTATTTAGTAGGGACGTAACAAGAACCAAAATATCGTGATATCGTATCGTCAAAGTTCTCTCAATAATATCGTGGACCATCACAATATATCGAATTACAAGTCTCTTTGCCTAAATGAAGAGTTATGGTGCAGGAATAGCTAAAAAAAAAAATAATTAAAAAGACAGAGGGAACTACATAGACCATGATCCTTTGCTCCATTTCAGCGCAGACGACAAGAAGAAATAACAGTTCCGACACTTTTAAGTCATAGTTCTTTGGATTAAGTCTTGTCGAGGCATCGCATATTCACAGTTTTGCCTCCACAAAATATCACATTAAATATTGTACCGTGAGATGTATATCGTGAAAATATCGTACAGAGAGATTTGGATATTGTTAAAATTCTAATCGTGAGCTTTCCCGCGGTATCGCAATAAATACCGTGAGGTTCATACCGCGAAGATATCGTTTCGTGAGACTCGGATATCGTTACTAGAGCCCAACCGATATGGATTTTGTTGTTGCCGATATGAAACCGATATACTGGGAGTTGTCGCTGCCGATAGCCGATATAATCACCGATATATTTAGTGATGTAAAAATTCACTGTAAATGTTGAATTGTTTAAAAAAAATTAGGTTTGGCTCTGGTGGTTTTTAAACTGGGTTTATTTAGGCAACATTTATTGTTATTTTGCCTCTTTACATGATATGTCATAGGACTAAAGCAGGTCTAAACCAGAACTGAACCAGGACTAAACCAGGACTAAAACAGATCTAAACTATGCGTAAAACAGGACTAAACCAGAACTTAACCAGGACTGAGTGTCGGTACACGGTCTCTATCTCTCTCCCTCTCTCGACCCCAAGATTAGTCCTGGTTTATTTCTTTTACGCTGAATATATTTATGCACACGCAGATTTTTGAAAGTTTCGTTTTGAGCCGCTGCCGCTGTCAAACTCCCACGAATCTGCACGCGACGTGAAGAGAAAAAAAGTGAGAGAAAGATTACATACGTCACGAATAAATAGCAGCGATTGGTTAAATGATAAAAAGTAACCGTCTGCTGTCAAGTGAAGGAAATCTAAGGTTTGTACAAAGTGAAACAAAGTAAAACCGGCTGATGAATCAAGCCACTCAAGGTCTGTCCACTCCTTTCTGCAAAGTTTCAATTCTCTTGTGGTGTTATCAGTGCTGCTCTCCAAGGCCATAGTCCCATCCAGTCTGCGGTCCAAACATACAAACATACAGCGACCAGTGACCTCTGCAAATACAAGGACTGGATGGAATATTTCAAAAAGTGTCTCCACTCGTCTCCAACACTCTGACTAGGAAATGAGGCCCTGTGTCCAAAAATCCGAATTGTCCGTTTAAAGTAGTTCTAAATTTCCAGATACAATGTTTTATTACCTCTAAGCCTCACCTTGGCCTCGCTCTCGCTGGTGCTCGCTCTGGTGATTCTGTCAGTGATGAAACGGGCCATTCTCTTTAAAAGTGTTTCTTCTGGAAGGTCGTCTGCCACATTTGCTGCCACATACAGTTTAAAAAGCTCGTAGCGTCTCAAATATCCACAGCTCGCTCCTCAAAACTAAAACAAACTTAATTTCACACAACAGTCTCTTACTTGTGTCAGTTGTTTCTTTGTTGGTTAAAATCCGATGATATGATGTTAAAAACTGTTTTGTTGATTGTATATTTTGTATTTTGCAGGTGTCTCTGTGGGAGCAGCTGGAGGCGGTGAGGGCAGAAATCTCATCTTTAGAGGAGCAGAAGAAAGCCATCAGCGAGACCGTCAAAGCTCTGGTGGTGTGTTCAAAATCACACATGTAAACAGGGTTCCCACGGTCATGGAAATCCTGGAAATGTCATGGAAATTGAAAAAAAGTAAAAGATAAATTCAATGAAAAGTTTTGGCAAAGTCATGGAATTTTAGTCCATGTGTTCTGTTAAGTTCTCATTAGACTATTCTGATTATTTGTGAACGTCTGCGCCTTTTGTTTAAAACAGACGACAGTAAATGCACTGACAGGATTATGAATGTTAAAAACTCTAATCCCAATTAGGGCCCGACCGATATGGATTTTGTTGCGGCCGATATGATAACGATAAAACGGTAGTTGGAGCTGCTGATATATTTAGTGATTTAAAAATTCACTGTAAATCTTGAATTGTTTTAAAAAGACTAAACTGGACTTTAAATTGAGTTTATTTAGACAACATTTATTGTTATTCTGCCTCTTTACGTCATATTTACAGACAGTAGGTCGGCCTAATGGCATTTTTGCATCACATTCTAGAAAGTAAACTACCACTATTAGTCTTTAGCTGTAAATGTTGCGCGCCGCGATAATTATATGTGTAAATGGCGAAGAGAAAATTCAGTTTGTCGAATGGACAAAAGTTAGTTTGGTTGAAAACTAACTTTTGTCCAGTCGACAAACTGAATTTTCTCCTCGCCATGGATTCTACCTGAACGACGGAGGGATTCTTCACATATATGTGTAAATGTCGATCATTCACACCTCTATTCACAGCTCATTTACATATCAGTGCTGGTCCAGTAACAGGCCATACGACCACAGTCTGTTTATGTGCAGACAAGATGAGAACCAAAACCGCAAAAGATCCTCCCACATCACTCTGACTAATAAATGTCCTTTTAATCCAGACTCAAACGAGCTCAGTGTTTGGCATATGTTGTGAGGGACAGTACACACACGTGACTTATACTGACTCTATTTGTTTAAATTGGATTAAATGAACAGAATGTAGAGAGTCTAAGATTTATAAGGAGGTATAACCTGCCCACGTGAAATATCGGCAAGATTTAGGCCGATCGCCGATATGTTCAAAATTACACAAATAAACGGTTCCCACAGTCATGGAAATCCTGGAAATGTCATGGAAATTGAAAAAAGTAAAAGATAAATTCAATGAAAAGTTTTGGAAAAGTCATGGAATTTTAGTATCTCTTTCCCGCAGCTCCAGTGTTCTGTTAAGTTCTCATGAGACAATTCTGAATATTTCTAAACGTCACATATGCCACATATTTGGACATTTATCTGACTGTAAATTGGATTAAATAAACATAATGTAGAGAGTCAACGCTTTATAACGAGGTATAACCTGCCCACGTGAAATATCGGCAAGATTTAGGCCGATCGCCGATATGTTTCCAAGAATCCATATCGGTCAAAAAATATCGGCCAACCAATATATCGGTCGGGCCCTAATCCCAAACCATAAGGTGAGTGGAAAGAGTTAACATTTCATATTTCGCCCTAAAATCTGATCCATTCTACACATGTAGGTGCTGTAAAGTCATGGAAAATTCACTTTACGTCATGAAAAAGTCATGGAAAAGTTTTGAAATTTTGTCAGTGAAAAAGAGTGGGAACCCTGTAGAAATGTCCATTACAAATATGTTTAAAAATACAAGAGTCAAAGCTCCAGTTGTGTGTGAAAAACTGCCTTTATCGCACGTGTTTGTTGTTCTTACTGATAATAGTGCTTTAGTTTGTTTGGTTTATTCTTCACATGAGTTTAACCTTGTGCGTTTTCTCTTTCCAGACCAATAATGAGAAGAAAGCCCTGGCCTCTGTAAGTTCTGTTTCTTTTAGTAATGTAATATCATCTTATAATAACGTTACTTTAAAATAATATTACTCAAGTAGAAGTACAATGTAGTAATCCAAGACATTACTCAAGTAAAAGCCGCCACACACTACGGGAGAATTTACATGATTTTGGTTGCGTTTTGCTTCTCCTCCAGTTCGACGAGGCGCCGACTTTGTGTCTTTGTGTGTGATTTTGACGCCGCTGTGCTCCTCGTGTGTGTGTGTGTGTGTGTGTGTGTGTGTGTGTGTGTGTGTGTGTGTGTGTGTGTGTGTGTGTGTGTGTGTGTGTGTGTGTGTGTGTGTGTGTGAGACTCTGAGCTGCTCTGTCAGATCATAACCACAAAACATCGGCGACGCTACGATAACAACCGATCAAACAGAGCGTCGGGGCACAGAGACGCAACACACAAACTCAGGAAACAGCGAAAATAATTATTACTCACCTCTCGTAAAGTTGTAAATTTAAACTGCAGCGTCTCATCCACATTATCCATAGAAATAGTTTTCTGCAAATAACGACGTCAGTCCACAAAACTACGCTGTGAATCCAGTTGAGACGTTCTTTAAAAGTAAAAAGTAGGGGTGGGACATGATTTTAAAAAAATAATCAAATTAATTACATACTTTGTCGATCCATCGTTTTTTTTTTTTTTATAGAAATGTGCTGTCCAGCAGCAGAGTGCTTTCACGTTCCATTGTTGTTGTAGTCAGTACTGTGTGCGTCCGTATATTACACGCATCAAGAATTTCTGACTTCTGGTCATTGCACAATTCATACTGGGAAGGATTTTCTGAAAAAATGAGCATCAAACCTCCATGTTTGTTTTCCCAGTGGGATGTGTCTATTGACAAAGTCGATCTTTTCAAGTCTTTTGAACCATTTCACTTTTGTTTCTGGTTCTGATATTGTCATATTTTAGTTTTGGGATTCGGACGTCGTCAATTGTTGTGGTTGTTGGATCCTAACAGTCAAAACTGTTTGTGTCTCTTCCCAATGGAATTGAAAAATATTGAAAGGTGAAGGTGATGGGCAGGATTGATCCACGGGAAAGACGAAAAAGGAAACATTTGACTGACTAAATCATCCCGAGTTTGCAGAGAACATTTTGTATGTGGAGCGACGACAAAGTAGGATCCCGTTTGTTAATGGAGAGGAGCAGAAGACAAACAGACTGAGCTGCACTTTCTTGTTCTTGTGGTTTTACAGAAACATCACGTCTTGGTCTCTTTGCAGTCGAAGGTGTTTCTTGGTGAACAGTTGGAGACTCTCGCTTTGGCGTTGACTTTTTAAATTCATAACCGAGATTGAACGAGGGATCGGGGTTCTGCTTTGTTGTCGCTCCACATACCAAATGTTCGCTGCAAACTCGGGATGATTTAGGCAGTCATAGATTGCCTTTTTCGTTCTTCCTGTGGATCAATCCTGCTCATCACCTTCACCTTTCACTATTTTTCAATTCCGATTGGGAAGAGAAACAGTTTGAACAGAGGTTTGAGTCACACACATCTGATTCACTTTTGCATTTATGGAGTTCGCAAACTAATTTCTCGAGTCGTTTTCCGCTGTTTGGATCCAACAACCACAACAATTACAATGTCCGAATCCCAAAACTAAAATATGACAATATCAGAACCAGAAACAAAAGTGATATGGTTCAAAGACTTGAAAAGATCGACTTTGTCAATAAACACATCCCACTGGGAAAACAAACATGGAGGTTTGATGCTCATTTTTTTTGGAAAATCCTTCCCAGTGTGAATTGCACAATGACTGGAAGTCTGAGATTCTTGATGTGTGTATTGTCGTACCACGTCATGGTGCACTGACAAACATTCTGCGTTGTTTGGCAAACTGCGATAAAATGCGTTAATATTTTTTATGTGTTGTTTTCTTTGTAATTAATGAATCGTAATTAACGTGTTAATGTCCCACCTCTGGTACAAAGGTGGGAGTAGTTCCTCACGTGTGTCTGTTTACATCCACACAGCGCACGGATCGAGCTGAAGCTGCAGATTCTCAACATTGACTCTAATTCCTGTGGATTTGATCTCCAGCCTTCTGTGTATTAAAAATCTGTATAGCACCACAATTATCGAATAAAGATAAAGCATTGTTCTGATCTTTGAACTCTTCAGAGTCTCAGAGCGACTGGTTTTACTGGAGACAGGAAACATCTGACGCCATCACAGACTCACACATTTATCTCCTGTGCTCCACACACAGATCCCACTGCAGACTGTGAGATCAGAGATTTTAAGTCTCATCAGATTTTCCTCGTGTTTGTCGTGTGCACTTTTTGTTGCACGTTTAAAAATCATTTAAGACCGAAAAATCCTGTAGTGTGTGGCGGCATTAAGAGTAAAAAAGTATTTGTGAAAAGTAAGAGTAACTTAAAGAGTAACTGTCAGGACTTGGGTTGGTATTATGAAGAATTCAGCAATACGGTACAAACCTCGATACGTAGGCCACAATACGATACATATCTCGATATAGTGGGCGCTTTAGATTCGATACGATGTATTTCAAATAGATTCAATACGGTTCAATAAAAAATAAAGGCTAAATCATGTCTGTGATACTGAAAGTCTTTGTTAAACCACTTGTGCAAAGAAACACAAACATTTTAATCATCAAAACAGAGAAAATGTCATATTTGTTGCATAAATGAGTTTCTTTCCACTAAACGAACAACAAAACTGTAGCAGTAACAAAATAATTTAGTAAAATATACAAAAAATTATGTAATTTGAAGGACAAAACATGAAATAATGTACAAATTTGAGTGTTTTCAAAGGACAGATGCAAAAATAAGACAAACTAAATCATATCTGAAGGAGCGCTACAAGAAACACAAAAGTAGGAGCCTGTGGACGTCAGTATGTGTTACAGTAACAGACCTAATTCTAATTCTTCGTGTATTTGACGTTGTTCAGCTTCCGGACTATTCAGCGGCTCGACAGAGGGGCCGAGAGGTCAGGCACAGGCTGAGCGAACTGAGCCCCAAACACGACCACCTGGAGGAGCAGTTCTACACCAGAGCCCTGAAACTGCCCAACTCCACACACCCCGACACGGTGAGGAACCTTTTATACTAAACTCTCTCCAACTCCACACACCCCGACACGGTGAGGAACCTTTTATACTAAACTCTCTCCAACTCCACACACCCCGACACGGTGAGGAAACCTTTTATACTAAACTCTCTCCAACTCCACACACCCCGACACGGTGAGGAAACCTTTTATACTAAACTCTCTCCAACTCCACACACCCCGACACGGTGAGGAAACCTTTTATACTAAACTCTCTCCAACTCCACACACCCGACACGTGAGGAACCTTTTATACTAAACTCTCCCCAACTCCACACACCCCGACACGGTGAGGAACCTTTTATACTAAACTCTCTCCAACTCCACACACCCGACACGGTGAGGAAACCTTTTATACTAAACTCTCTCCAACTCCACACACCCCGACACGGTGAGGAACCTTTTATACTAAACTCTCTCCAACTCCACACATCCCGACACGGTGAGGAACCTTTTATACTAAACTCTCTCCAACTCCACACACCCCGACACGGTGAGGAACCTTTTATACTAAACTCTCTCCAACTCCACACACCCCGACACGGTGAGGAACCTTTTATACTAAACTCTCTCAACTCACACACCCCGACACGGTGAGGAACCTTTTATACTAAACTCTCTCCAACCCGACACGGTCCTCCACACACCCCGACACGGTGAGGAAACCTTTTATACTAAACTCTCTCAACTCCACACACCCAGACACGGTGAGGAACCTTTTATACTAAACTCTCTCCAACTCCACACACCCCGACACGGTGAGGAAACCTTTTATACTAAACTCTCTCCAACTCCACACACCCCGACACGGTGAGGAACCTTTTATACTAAACTCTCTCCAACTCCACACACCCCGACACGGTGAGGAAACCTTTTATACTAAACTCTCTCCAACTCCACACACCCCGACACGGTGAGGAACCTTTTATACTAAACTCTCTCCAACTCCACACACCCCGACACGGTGAGGAACCTTTTATACTAAACTCTCTCCAACTCCACACACCCCGACACGGTGAGGAACCTTTATAACTAAACTCTCTCCAACTCCACACACCCGACACGGTGAGGAACCTTTTATACTAAACTCTCTCCAACTCCACACACCCCGACACGGTGAGGAAACCTTTTATACTAAACTCTCTCAACTCCACACACCCCGACACGGTGAGGAACCTTTTTATACTAAACTCTCTCCAACTCCCACACACCCGACACGGTGAGGAAACCTTTTATACTAAACTTCTCCAACTCCACACACCCCGACACGGTGAGGAACCTTTTATACTAAACTCTCTCCAACTCCACACACCCGACACGGTGAGGAACCCTTTTATACTAAACTCTCTCCAACTCCACACACCCCGACACGGTGAGGAAACCTTTTATACTAAACTCTCTTCAACTCCACACACCCCGACACGTGAGGAACCTTTTATACTAAACTCTCTCCCAACTCCACACACCCCGACACGGTGAGGAAACCTTTTATACTAAATTCTCTCCAACTCCACACACCCCGACACGGTGAGGAAACCTTTTATACTAAACTCTCTTCAACTCCACCCACCCCGACACGGTGAGGAACCTTTTATAACTAAACTCTCTCAAACTCCACACACCCCGACACGGTGAGGAAACCTTTTATACTAAATTCTCTCCAACTCCACACACCCCGACACGGTGAGGAACCTTTTATACTAAAACTCTCCCAACTCCACACACCCCGACACGGTGAGGAAACCTTTTATACTAAACTCTCTCCAACTCCACACACCCCGACACGGTGAGGAAACCTTTTATACTAAACTCTCTCCAACTCCACACACCCCGACACGGTGAGGAAACCTTTTATACTAAACTCTCTCCAACTCCACACACCCCGACACGGTGAGGAAACCTTTTACAGTAAACCCTGTCCAAGCTCAAACCACCTGATGATGATGATGATGATGATGATATATAAATAAATGATTGTTGTTGTTGTTGTTGTTGTTGCGTCGCAGCCTCACGGGGATGAGAGTCAGGCTCGTGTGGTGGAGCTGGTGGGACAGAAGCCGGAGTTTGACTTTAAGCCCAGAGGTCACGTGGAGCTGGGGGAGAGACTGGGACTCATCAGGCAGAGGTGAGAAGACACAGTCACAGTTTTAAACAGCGCCCTCTGGTGGACAGGAGGTGACATAGAACTACTAATACTACTGTTACTACTGACCAGGCTCCTGACAAGCACTGCTACTACTGCTGTTACTGTACTGCAAATACTAACAGTACTACTGTTACTGTACTGTAAATACTACAGGTCTAATGTACTACTGAAGGGATGGGACCAGGAGGGACTGGGATCACAGGTACTGGACCAGGACTGGTCCAAAACTAGACTAGGACTGAACCAGAACTAGGCTAGGACTAGGACTGGTTTAGTACTAAAGCAGAACTAATCTGGGACCGAAGCAGGACTAAAGAAGTACTAAAGAAGGTCTAAAGTAGGACTAAACAAGGACTAAAACAGGACTAAACCAGGACTGGACCTGGACTGGATCAGTACTAAAGCAGGGCTAACCCGGGACTGAAGCAGGACTAAAGAAGGACTAAAGCAGGACTGAACCCCAGGACTGGACCAGAAGTAGACCAGGACTGAACCAGGACTAGGGACTAGGACTGGACCAGGACTGGACCAGGACTGGATCAGGACTGGACAGGACTGGACAAGGACTATAATTTTATAATTATAATTTTTTTTTAAATTATTATTATTTTTCAAATTATAATGTTGCACAGAAAATGATGTTTAATGATGGTTAATTTCTTGTGAACATTTTAGCACATTTTGGACACACTGCGCTAATGTTGTGTTTAACAGATAATTGTTTTTTTTTTCTGTTTAATCCTTTTTTGTGACCAGGGGAATAGTTGTTTAATTCAAAGAAACACTTCAGTTTAGTTTGTGTAAAATGTTGGTTATAATTGCCATAAACTGAACTGATAAACCTGTTTAAAAAGTCTTAGTGTAGTTCTTCACGTGTCCCGCCCTCCCTCTCCCCAGACACCTCTCGCACGTGTCGGGTCACAGGTCGTATTACCTGAGAGGGGGCGGGGCCAGACTCCAGATGGCGCTGCAGAACTTTACACTGGACAAGCTGCTCAAACGGGTAAAGCCTTCAAAATAAAACCGTCACCATAGAAACCCGTGCTGTTCAGACTGGACAGAGCTGAGCTGTGCTTTTATTGTGAAATCCACAGGGCTTCATCCCGCTCACGGTGCCCGACATGCTCCGGGGCGCGGTGTTTGTAAGTACATTTTCTTGTTCAAATAGATTTATATGAAGCTAAAGTTATAGATAGAATAAAACTGGGGTGGAAATTTGCAATAAAACATGACAAGGAGGATTTTTTGTTTTGCTTTGTCCTAAAAAAGCACCTTTATATTACACAAAACTGACTCCTGTGAAGCTTTACATCATATTCTAATGTTGTTCCCTCCTCAAAAACAGACCTGGAGTTGTGTTTTATTTCATTCACACATTTTTTATTTTTTTTACTTTTTATTTGTGTTTTTTCAATATTTTAACAAATGCACATAAAAGAACACACAATCTGTGGGGTTCTACAAAAATGTTTAAAAATAAAATACATTATACATTGGAGTGAGTGTAAATAGACCGTTTCGGCCATTGTTTGTCAAATTTACCAGCTTTACATTCATACATGTTTGAGTAACTCTTTATTATTAGTCTGTTTACATCTCCAAAGCTTAAAATGCTCTGTTCCACCTTGTGATGTCATGAAGTGGTAGTTTTCAAGTGAACAGCTCCTTTTACTTTTAATTTCAGCTCTGGAATTGCAAATCTCTACTAAATTAAATGATCCAAATGATTCTAGTGAAGGTGTGTGGAGTTTAAAAACACAGTGGAGCTCTTCCTGTATCACCACATGACATCACAAGGTGGAACAGAGTGTTTTCTTTTAGTGCTTTCTGTTAATCCACCGGTTTTCCTCAGGAGGGCTGTGGGATGCAGCCTCACGCCCATCGCTCTCAGGTCTACGCTCTGGACCCGGCCCGGAGTCCAGACCTGAACCTGGCCGGGACCGGGGAGGTCGGCATCGCAGGTACTAAACCAGGACTAAACTGGGACTGAAGCAGAACTAAACCAGGAAAAAAAAAAAAAACTAAACCTGGACCGAAACAGAACTAAACCGGGACTAAACCAGGGACTAAACCTGGACTAAATCAGTGCTGCTTCAGTAAAGACCAGTTGTTTTGTCTGTGTCCTTGAGGTTTCTTCATGGATCATGCAGTGAACTGGAGAGACCTGCCTGTTCGGTGAGAAGGAAAACTTATATTTTTAATCTAATATTTAAAAAATTGTAATGTTGTGTGTAAGAAAATTTTTGATTATTGTTTTCTCAAGTGTGTGTGTGTGTGTGTGTGTGTGTGTGTGTGTCTCCCCCTGCAGGACGGTGTGCTGTAGTACATGTTACAGAGCAGAAACTGACACAGGCCGAGAGACGTGGGGCCTGTACCGAGTCCACCACTTCAACAAGGTACAACACACACACACACACACACACACACACGGGGAGGGCGTCTGACACACACACACACACACACACACACACACACGGGGAGGGCACCTGACACACACACACACACACACACACGGGGAGGGCATCTGACACACACACACACACACACGGGGAGGGTCTGACACACACAACACACACGGGAGGGCGTCTGACACACACACACACACACGGGGAGGGCGTCTGACACACACACACACACACGGGGAGGGCGTCTGACTCTCTCGTGTCTCAGGTGGAGATGTTCGGGGTGACTGCAGGTGACTCGGGGCTGGAAAGCGCTCAGATGTTGGACGAGTTTGTGAATCTGCAGAAAGAACTTTTCACTGAACTGGAACTGCACTTCAGGTAAAACCAAGAGTGGAGAAAGAATCGGGACTAAACCAGGACTGGACCGGGACTAGGGACCAGGGACTAGGGACTAGGGACCAGGGACCAGGGACCAGGGACTGGACTAGGACTGGAACGGGACTGGACTAAAACTGGAACAGGACTAGGGACTAGGGACTAGGGACCAGGGACTGGAACAGGACTGGAACAGGACTGGAACAGGACTAGGGACTAGGGACCAGGGACTGGACTAGGACTGGAACAGGACTGGACCAGGACTAGGGACTAGGGACTAGGACTGGACCAGGACTAGGGACTAGGGACTAGGGCAGGGGTGGGCAAACTACAGGCCAGAGGCCGTATGCGGCCCTTTAAACCTTTTAATCCGGCCCTCCGAACTTGAATAAATTACAATAATAAACCTTGTTAATGTTTTATTTTTCATGCATTTCCGGCGTTTCCCAGTAGATGGCGCACTGTATATACATTGACATGCGGCGTACTATGTTGGCTGCAATGCTTTATGGGAAAATATTCGGGCAGCGTATTTGGACCATGAGTGAGGTAGAAGTGTTCAAAACATAAGGCTGCACTGTTTCCAGTTTGAGTGTGTTTCAATCATCAAGAGTCGCTCCCTGAGCTCCTCATGTGAAGCTTGGTGTTAAAACGGCTGCAGTGAACTTACACAGTTTAACTTTATTTCCTGTTTTACCCCTGTTAAAATCCTGGAGACGCTCTGACGCTGAAAAATTGGAACTTGAATCTCATTTATTTCCTCTTTATTTCCTGGTGAGTTGATCCGTGTTTGTTTCAGAGTCCTGGACATGCCCACGCAGGAGCTGGGGCCTCCCGCTCACAGGAAGTTTGACATCGAGGCCTGGATGCCCGGAAGGAACAGCTACGGAGAAGTGAGGACTGGACCAGGACTGGACCAGGACTAAACCAGGACCAAACCAGGTCTAAACTAGGACTGAACCAGGACTGAACCAGAACAACATCAGGAGACCGTTGATACTTTACACTGACATCGCTCTGGGGGTGTTCTACATGTATCTCAATTGGCAGAATGTTCAGCAGTTACCACGGTGACAAATGACACACAAAAGCAAACACTGCCAGAAAGTTTAAAGATGGTCTGACTCTGGGATGTTGTGGCTGATCGCTGTGTGTGTGTGTGTGTTGTTTGTGTTTGTTCGGTTTGTAACTGTACAAAAATCACGGTTTGGTTCATTTGTGGTTCATTTTGGGAACAAAATACAAAACCATTTTATTAAACCAACAATTTGTTTTGACTTTATACAAACAGGAAAATAAAATAAATGCAAAGTGCAGCTTGGTAATATTAATAAGTTAAACCCTCACGCTCTCCTCAGGGTCACATAGACACAAAGAACTTTTTTTTTCCCATCCCGCTCTCTTGGGGCGGGTCAATCAGACCCAAAAAATTATTTTTAAATAAATTCTCACCAGGCGAGAAAATAAATTTTTGGGTCTGATTGACCCGCCCCAAGAGAGCGGGAAGGGAAAAATAAATAAATAAAATATTCTCAAATAAGCAACAAATCTTTGAAATATTATAAAAAATAAATTCCTTGTAAACAGTAAACAGAACTTTTCAAAAAGTAAAGTGCAGCACCAACAGTTCCAGCATGAAGTCTTACTAAAAGCTTCAGATTTTTGGCCAGAAAAAACACTTGTCCAGATTGTCTGCAGTAAGAGCAGATCTGCTGCAGTGAGAGCAAGTGTCAAGGGGGACGGAGATTTTGTGCTGGTGGATTTCTGTGCTTCAGAGGGACGTAGTTAAGTCGCTCTAACTATAAAGCGCTGCAGGAAACATTGAACCAATCACAGACCAGTTCCTCTTGAATATTAAAGGGTACAATCTCTGTGTAGCTGTAGTGTGTGTGTGTGTGTGTGTGTGTGTGTGTGTGTGTGTGTGTGTGTGTGTGTGTGTGTGTGTGTGTGTGTGTGTGTGTGTGTGTGTGTGTGTGTGTGTGTGTGTGTGTGTGTGTGTGTGTGTGTGTGTGTATGTGTGTGTGTGTGTGTGTGTGTGTGTGTGTGTGTGTGTGTGTGTGTGTGTGTGTGTGTGTGTGTGTGTGTGTGTGTGTGTGTGTGTGTGTGTGTGTGTGTGTGTGTGTGTGTGTAGTATATTGGACCGTTGTGTTCTGTTCCTCAGTTTTTTTCCTCAGACTCTTTTGTTTCTGCTCCAGATTTCGAGCGGCTCCAACTGCACCGACTTCCAGAGCCGACGCCTCAACATCCTGTACGAAAGAGAGGACGGGAGTCTGCAGTACGCCCACACGGTAAACCAGGACTGAACCAGGACTGGACCAGGACTGGACTGGACCAGGACTGGACCAGGACTGGACCATGGACTGGACAGGACTGGACTGGACAGGACTGGACCAGGACTGGACCCAGGACTGGACCAGGACTGGACCAGGACTGGACTGCAGGACTGGACCAGGACTGGACAGGACTGGACTGGACTGGACCAGGACCAGGACTGGACCAGGACTGGACCAGGACTGGACTGGACCAGGACAGACCAGGACTGGACTGGACTGGACTGGACTGGACAGGACAAGAGAGACTCAGATCTGGACTCACACGAGCATCAAGTTTGGACCAGACATTAAACGATAAAACTGAATTATTTTTCATTCTTAAAAAACAAAGACTCAGATCATCAAAAGAACATCAGTCTCTGGGACGTGACGGTTCAGTTCTGATTTATTTCCGTCATATTTTTTTGTTTCCAGGTGAACGCGACGGCCTGTGCCATCCCCCGAATGATCATCTCCATTTTAGAAACACACCAGACCAAAGTAAGCCACGCAGGTTTGAGTGATCTAGTGATCTCTATTCAAAGAAGAATCTACTAGAACCTGGAGAAAGATCTAAAAAGTTTGAAAGACTAAGTTTGATTTAAATCTTTATAATCGGTCCAAACTTGTGTCGTTTGTCCAGGACGGATCGGTGCGCGTCCCCACAGCGCTGCAGCCGTACTTTGGGTCAGACCTGATCCGGAAACCGTCCTACTCCCCCCTGAGGTACATCGGCCCCAACCAGCCCAACAGACCCCCCCGACCGGGCTAATAGACCACCCCACCGGGCCAGTAGTCCAGCCCGACCAGACCAGCCCGATCAGTCTAACAAACCCCCCCCCTCGACCCATCCTCGACCGGCCCCACAGATCCCTGGGCCTTGAGGAGGGCAGAGCGTCTCCTCAGTTCTCCAGCTCCACATCAGGAACATTTAACCCCAGATCCTGCAAAGATCTGGGACTGTGGTGATGTCACACTGGGTGGTGATGTCACTGGGTGGTGATGTCACTGGGTGGTGATGTCACTGGGTGGTCGGGACTTCAGTTCTCGCTTTAGCTCATTCATGCTGCTGCTGCCGCTGTGTCCTTGAGCAAGACACTGCTCTGTGTAATGAACTGTCTCTGCTTCATGTGAATGGATTTATACCAATAAATGATATTTTGTATTTTGTTGAGTTGAATTTCTTCTGAACAGTAAAAACAACAAATGAATTCTGATGTACTTCCTGTATGAGTGTGTTGTGTGTGAGACTGGTGCTGCTGTGGCTTCAGTTTAACCTCTGCCCAGTGTGAAGATGAAGAACCTTTGTGAATCTGAAACACGTGTTTAAAATGAGACATGGACTTTTATTTTGAAAAAGATCTGAGTGTGAATTATGATGGTCAGAACAGAAAGAATTCAGATTTAAAAGAGCTAAATAACAGTTATTTTATCATGTAGTTTTCTGTAGTTTCCTCTGTTTTGTTGAGGAGAAAATTCAGTTTGTCGACTGGACCAAAGTTAGTTTGGTTGAAGACCTTTCGCAGCTCGTCCAAACTGCTTCTTCAGTTCAGAAGACGAGCAGCGAAACGTCTTCAACCAAACTAACTAGTCAACAAAGTGAATTTTCTCCTCGACTTGGATTCTACCTGGACGACTGAGGGATTCTTCACACATCCCTGTGTTTTACTGTATTGTACTTTACTGTAGTACATTTGAGTATCGCAGTACTTCAGTTCCATCCAAATACCAAACAGAAGTGAGAGGGACATGTTCCAGTTTGTTCCTGTAAAATTCAGTGCCGCATTTATCAACAGTAAAGAGAAAAGTATTTTAGATATTTAAAAAAGTAGTTTCTTAAAACATATATATTATTTAGGAGAAGCGTCAAGTCTTCTCAAGTCCAAGTCAAGTCCCAAGTCTTAGTCCATTTTATCAACTCAAGTCTCAATTCCTAAAAATAGTGACTCAAGTCTGACTCGAGTCCAAGTCATGACTTGGTATATAAGTATAGCTTTGTAGCTCCCGAGCTGCAGGTTGGAGACTCCTGGTTTAGGCCCTAAACGGCAATTTTCATGTGTCTTGTGCAACTTCTAAATATGAATTGTATAAAATTTGGACCCAAATATTTTGGTCAGATATGGAACCAAATGCAGGGTTCTAAATCTAATCTAAAAAAAAAAACTGGACCACCCTAATGCACATATTATTATTACATAAAGCAGGGGTGGGTAAACTTTTTGACTCATGGGCCACAAAGGTTCTAAAATTTGACGGAAGGGCCGGACCAGGAGCAGATGGATGGAGTTTTTTTTTGTAATTCACCTCAGAAGAGAAAAAATAACATGGGATATGTAGAAAACACATCCCATGTTATTGAAAATATCCATATGTCATAAACATTACAACAAAATATCTGCCTCAAGTCCCACGGTGTTTACTGTTTATTGAAATGACTTTTAAAACACTGAAAATTATGATGATTATTATTATTATTCAAGTTCGGTGGGCCAGATTAAAAAGATTAGAGTGCCGCATATGGCCCCTGGGCCGTAGTTTGCCCACCCCTGACATAAAGTAAATCAAAGTTACGTCAGTAAAACAGCACAACATCAACATCTGGAGAAGAGAAGGTTTGGATCCTCCCCTAAAAACGTGCACAGTGCATCTTTAACAATCACAGTATAATTCTCCATAATTATATTGTTATTATTTTGGTATTATTTGAGATTTTAAGACTTGAAATGACTTGAAGCTCAAAGCCAATAACTTGGACTTGACTTGGACTTGACTTGGACTCATGGGCCAGTGACTCGAGACTCGACTTGGACTTGCCTGGATTTGACTTGGGACTTGACTCGGACTTGAGGTCAAAGACTTGAGACTCGCAAAAGCACGACTTGGTCCCACCTCCGGTCTGGACTTTTTTGAAAACTTTTGATCGAGGCGCAAAAACGAGGCAAACTAAATCAGACCTGAAGGAGCCGCAAGAAACACAAATGTTCAAATCATTTCATATTGTCACATGAAACTTTTGTCATTTTAGACTTTTACTCACCCTTATGTAACAGATAATACTCCCTACTAAAGTACTCTTACACTGTACTTATATTACTCAAGTAGGAGTAAAAGTACAGGCTCTGAAAACATTACTAATTTAAAAAAGACAGAAAAAAAACTAAGTTATAGCACATTTGTTTATTTATTGTTGACAGGAAGCATAAAAGTTACAGCAGGCACAAATACAGCACTCTGATTGGCTAGAAACAGTCACCTGACCCCTTTATCACCCCCCCCCTTATATGGTCGTACTTCCTGCTGTAATAGTCCTATACAAAATACATGACAATTATTATTATTTATTACATTCTCTCGTAACACAAATCTTTGGGTTAAACGTTTTTCATGTTTTTGAGTAAAATTATTTGTTATAGAAAAGTGAGTTTAAACCTGGACATTTGAAGCTTCACATTATTACGTAAGAAAATACACTGGAGGACGTTATTGCATTCACATGTGCTCTGTGCTCCGTTTATTGCAAAACAAAATGGGGTTTAGGCAAGTTTCCACATGAGCAGTAAAGACCTGGTTTAGTCCTGGTTTAGTCCCAGTTAAGTCTTGGTTTAGTCCTGGTTTAGACCTGATTAAGACCTTGTTTGACCCCAGTTAAGTCAGATTAAAGCTCTATTAAAGGTCTGATTTAGTCCTGGTTTAGTCTTGGTTTAGTCCTGATTCAGTTCTGGTTTAGTCTTGGTTTATTCCCCTGTTCAGTCTTGGTTTAGTCTTGGTTTAGACCTGATTAAGACCTTGTTTGAGCCCAGTTAAGTCACGTTAAAGCTCTATTAAATGTCTCATTTTGTTTTGATTTAGTCTTGGTTTAGTCCCGATTCAGTCCCGGTTCAGTCCTGGTTTAGTCCTTGTTTAATCCTGATTTAATCCTGGTTTAGTCTTGGTTTAGACCTCCTTTAGACCTTGTTTGTCCCGGTTAAGTCTTGTTACAGAGCTATTAAAAGGTTTGATATGGTCCTGATTTAGTTCTGATTTAGTCTTGGTATAGTCTTGGTTCAGTCCTGGTTTAGTCCTCCTTTAGTCTTGGTTCAGTCCTGGTTTAGTCCTGATTTAGTCCTGGTTTAGTCCTCCTTTAGTCCTGGTTTAGTTCTGGTTCAGTCCTGGTTTAGTCCTGGTTCAGTTCTGGTTCAGTCTTGGTTTAGTCCTGGTTCAGTCCTGGTTCAGTTCTGGTTCAGTCCTGGTTTAGTCCTGGTTTAGTTTCACGCTGCTTTGTGGAAACTGCTTTAGAGATAAACCCTGTAGTTCCTCTCCGTGTCCTGTGGGGGCGCTGCTGCTGCTGCTGCTGCTGCTGCTGCTGCTCTACACACTTGGCTTATAGACCAGAATTAGAACTGACACAATATTTACAAAAAAAGACACATTTAAAAACATTTATGGCTAAAACTGGGCCAGACACATTCACAGGTCAAAGTGGAGCTCGGAACCGACATTTGTAGATATTCAACGCCCAGAAATAAAAATTAAAAAAAAACACTTCATAATAACAAAACGCTAGAGGAACGTCGTAGCATTAGCAAAGAAATGTCAGCGTAAGCCTTATCAAAGTCGCACATGGCTTCGGTCCATCGCATCGTCCGTGGCGTTTGTGAGAAGAGTGCAAAGCCGAGGTCCAGGAGCGCGTTCAGAAGAGCCACGTTTAATAATACGAGCAAATTCTCTCCAAATATCAACAAACTTAAAGGTTCAATATCAAACCAAACTGACTCTAGTGAGATTTAAGTCGTGTTCTAATGTTGTTTCCTCTTCAAAAACAGACCTGGAGTTGTGTTTTGTTCATCCTTATTTACCCGGGACAGTCCCAGTTTTGAGCCTGTGTCCCCCGTCCCAGCAGATTTATACAAAACCACTGATTTGTCACAGTTTTCACTATTTTTGACCAATTTATTACCCACCATCAGCAAAGAGGGGGTTAGATTGTCATGTCATGTATTCCAACATCTGTTCATTATACCTATAAGTAGACGTGGCAGTTTTCCGACACTTTTTAATAACTGTTCCAACACGTCATATACCATATTTTTTGGACTATAAGTGTCACTTTTTTTCATGGTTTGTGTGTTTCCGGTGTGACTTCTATATTAAAATGTTTGAGTGAAGTGTGGAGAGGTTCTGGTCTTGTGTGTGAGTATCTGCTGCTCCTGTTCCTCCTGCACCACTGTCACTTGGCTCTACTGCGCATGTCTCCTGCAGAAAGAGCCTCTGTCCTGCTGTAAGTCGTGAAATATTAAGCCGAAAACAGTAATCGAGCAGCAGAAAGTTTGGAGTGAGTGAGAAGCGGTCACTGGATGGATGGACAAAGCCTGGACTTCACTGACACCAAAACCATCCTGTCGGGATTCAGAAAGATCCAAATAATAAGACTATGTTTACACTGAAACGAATCCGCGTATCACTGTATCGGAAATGATTTGCGTCCACACATGTTGTTTCTGTGTCCGCAATCGTTCTCTATCCTCACAACTTTTAACATATTTGTTTACGTTTTACAGAAACGAAACTTAAAACCACATGGATCATTTGCATAAAGTAAGTGCTCAAAAAAACAACTCGCTTTTGTGCCCTGATGTGGTTCAGTTTGTGTCGGACTAAAGGACACAGTGACTCAGTGGAATATGAGTGTTCTTTCTGTGACAGAGGGGTGTTCTGCTGATGGTGAGTCTGTTCTGTGTTTCTGTCGTGTTGTTGGTTCATGTGAAACTTTTCAGAGATTATACGTCTGCAGGTCGAACACACAGACACACGTTTATATGAAGGGACATATGTTCTAGACTCTTAGTGTTTTGGTGGTGAATTACTTCGTGGTGCACAGACCTACATCAGAGTATCAGTGTTTTCAGGCGTCCACACGGTCAAGGATCAGATGAATTCATGAGAGCTGGAGGCACCAGATCGTTCTGTCTCTGGAGCCGTTTTACATCAGATTAGTGTGAACGAACACTGCATCCACAACAAAAACCACTCGAATGTGAACTAGTGTGAACGGGACCTGACTGGAACTGATGCTGAGTCTGACGACAGCGACGCAGAAGAGTTTGCGTCGCTCTGTTTACCTCCGGAGGTCGAGGCCGAGTTGCTCAGAAGTGACACCGAGGATGAAGAACTGAATGGATTTAGTGA